TTTAATGGGGGCTGTGTTAAATCTGTAGACTGCTTTTGTCAGGATGACCATATTCACAAGGTTAATCCTATCTATCTATGAGCACGGGAGAGCTTTCCATCTTCTGCTATCCTCTTCAATCTCTTTGATGTCTTAATATTTTTATTATATCAGTTCTTAACTTCCTTGGTTAAATTTATTCCAATATATTTTAAGGGTTTTGACACAATTGTGAATGGGATTATTTCCCTGATTTCTCAATATGTTAGTTGTTGGTATATAGGAAGGCTACTGATCTTTGCGTGTTAATTTTATATACTGCTATGCGCTTAATGTGTTTATCAGCCATGGAGTTTTCTGGTGATGTCCCTAGGGTCTTTTATGTATAGAATCATATCTGTAAATAAGAATACTTTCACTTAAATTTTTTGTTATTTTTAATTTATGTGTATGAATGTTTGCCTGCATGCATTCAAGTGCACCATGTGGTGTAATGCCCGAAAAAGCCAGAAGAGTTTGTCTGATCCCCTGTGAGTTACGGACAGTTGTTAGCTGCCATGTGGGTGCCGGGAACTGAACCCAGGTCCTCTAGAAGAGCACCCAGTGTTCTAAGAATACTCTCACTTTTTCTTTGCAATTTGTATTCCCTCTGTCTCTGTCTTACTGCTCTAAGACTTCAAGTACTTGAACAGGAATGGAGAGAGTGGACATCCTTGTCTTGTTCCTGATTTTAGTATAATGCTCTGAGCTTTGTTCCATTTAGTATGATGTTGGTTGTGGGCTTATTTCACATTTCCTTTATTATGTTGAGGTATGTTGCCTGTATCTCTGGATTCTCTATTCCCTAGACTTTTATCATGAATAGATGCTGGACTTTGTCAAAGGCATTTTTGAATCTAATGAAATGATCATATGGTTTCTGCCTTTGAGTCTGTTTACATGATGAGTTATATTTATTGATCAATGTATGCTGAATCATCCCTGCATCTCTGGGATGAAGATGACCTAATCATGATGGATAATAGTTTTGATTTGCTCTTGCATTCATAATTTTTGCATCTATGTTCATTCATCTTTTTTTCCTTTTCTTTTTGTTGATTTTTGTCTGGGGTTGGGCACACCTACTTACATGCAAGCAATATACTCATACACATAAAATATTTAAAAAATCCAACATTCACAACTAAGTCCATTTAACTCCAATTACTTAGTTTCTCATGCTTTACATTCTCAATTATTAATTAAGCTCTTAAAAAAAAAAAACTTTTCTTTTTCTCTTTATCCCAACTTCTTAAATCAGACAGGAGGCCCAGGCAGGAGGATGTCTGCAAATTTTCGGGGCAGCCTAGTTAGAAGAGTAAGATCTTGACTCCAAACAATTACCCTTACAGTGCTTACAGTGTAGGAAAGTAGAAAACAGTACATTGTCGACATCTATAAACTGCTTACCTCGACTCATTAACGGTTACGATTTGCCACTTCCAACGTGCTGCTTCCCTATGGTTGGACATACCCAGTATTTCTGAAGTACGGGAGGGCAGCACACACTCACACTTCATTCTTAAATATATCACCATGAATTATTATGAAGAAGGGTTTTAATCAAACAGCCAATTATAGAACACACAATGTATTTGGTTTTCATGTCTCTTTAGTTTCCTTCAGTCTAGTGACTGCCACCTCAACGCCATTCTCCTCTAGTTTGGTTGTTAGGACATTAAAACTTTAGAAGAGATAAGGACAGTTGTTCTGTAGTAAATTCTACAATACAAATTTGTCTTCTTTCTTGGAATTAGGTCTAGACACAACATCTTGGTAAGAAGTAATTTTTAAACATTTTGATGAGATTATCATAAACAGATGTTTTCTTTTAACTGTCTTTCCTCAACTTCTGTAATATGCTTTACACTCCCCAATAAATTATAAATAAGCTCTTTTAAAGACACAGCCTTGGCTTTTTATTTCTTTGGTATTTCTCCCAAAGAATGTAGCATAATCTCTGTATCACACATTCATTAAGTAAATGGGAAAAGAGCAAGGTTGACAGCTGTTTCTAAGGATGGCTGAATAGGCATTATTATTACATTGAATAGTTTTATACCAGACTAAAAATATTTGGGGTTTTGCTTCTAACCTTTAAACCCTTTTGAGGGAAATTAAGCATGCAGGCACTTTGGCACAGTGTCTACTTTGGCACGTATAAACTACGTGTAGGAAAGCACGGTGCGGGGGGCGGGATGAGCTGCAGGGGATCACAGCAGAGCAGGGCCTCAACTTTGTTATGAACAAACAGGGCTTTAAATGGGAACTTTGGAGAACAGCACATTTCTTAGAGTCAGACTCTGATTAGAAACTATTTCTTAGAGAAGAAAGAGTTAAAGAGGTCATTTAATTCCTACTTAATCAGCTGAAAATTTTCCACAAGCACAAGAATATGGCATTAAAACAAAAGTGTAGCTGGGTATGGTTCACTCCCAGCACTGGAGAGGCAGAGGCAGGCGGATCTCTGTGAGATCTAGGGCAGTCTGGTCTACCTAGAGAGTTCCAAGCCAGTTGGGGCTACAGGGAGACCCTGTTCAAAAAACCATAAACAAATAGAAAAAAAACAAAATAAAACAAAAATGGGGGATATTAATTTTTTTTCAAGGAATTATAGTACAATTTTTAAAGCTTACATTTCAATGAAGCTTCTTGGATTGAAAATGAAAAATGCTCTCAAATATGTCATGCATGCAAAGGAAAGGGAAGCCGCAAACATGACTTGTTTTAAAAACATGGCTTCTATACTGAACAAGAGAACAGTAAAGGGTACACACCCTGTATCAGAGAACATTTGCTGTATAAAACGCTCCTAACTGAGCTCAGGTTCTGAGCTTCCAGCTGACATTTGGAAGTGTATCATGAGGGCTGTCTGTTCTCAGAGCTCTCCAGTCTTCACCGCTGCTCATCATGCGAACTAGCTGCTTGAAGATAGCCTCTCTTCTCTTTTGCTACATATAAATAACAAGCTATTGCAAGGAAAACAGAAGCTTTATCGCATCCAAATGCAACTGGGAAACTGTACTCTATAGAAACTATAAATGTCATGTGTGGGGGAGCTTCTCCAGACTTATATTTCATGAAAAAATGGTTAATGTCACCGTCAGATATCTTGTAGCTGCCAGAGAACTTGGATACAAAAACAGACACAAAGTAGCTAAAATTGGGAAAAAAAAGTTAACGTTATTTTCCTAAAAAATATTACTGAGGAAAATTATTATGTGACGATCAAGAATGTTCCTTTTAAATCTGAAAAGCAACAACAGAAACACATTTAAAACCTACTACACACTGGACAAAACAATTATTTAGCATGATTTCTTTGAGAGATACAGTATTATACCATAAATAGTTTTTATGAACAACAGCTTATTTTGCTGGGTGTGGTAATACATGCCTTTAAGGCCAGCACTTGGGAGGCAAGCAGATCTCTGAGTTTGAGACCAACCTGGTCTACATAGTAAATTCCAGCTGGGGCTATACTGTCTCAAAAAGACAGGGAAAAAAAAAAAGCTAAAGCTTATGTTTCCTCTCACAGAAGAATTACATGGTTTTGCTAATAAACTTGTATCTTTGGTTCTATGGGAAAAAAATGATCCTACAGACAGAAAAAAATAAGGTAGGCAGCTGACATGCCACCCACCGTTAGCTTTCAAAAGTAGTTCTCTGGCAGTAAGGCCAACTTTAACCTGAAATTCAATATTGCTCTTGTTTCAGTGTAAGGATTATACATATACTTAATAGTGGGGAAGCAGTAATTTTGTTAACAACAAAACAAGTTCAGCTGCTTTCAAAGAGAATAATATCTAATGATAGTAGGACTGTAACAAATGCCATTCTGATAAGGCTACTCCAATATGACATTTGATGTTAAGTAGGATCTGAAACTGCTTCTTTTTGAGGGTCAAATTCCCATCCCATTCAATATTTATTTGTTTGGGTTTTTTGTGTTTTGTTTTTATTTTGCGGGGCAGGGGGGGGCAGGGTCTCTGCAGCTCCAGCTGGCTTAAAACTCCCTATATAGAACAGACTAGCCTAGCTCCCACAGAGATCCACCTGCTTCTGCCTCCTAAATGCTGGAATTAAAGGCATTAGTGACCACACCTGGATTCCCTTTGATATTTATAATAAGAACTTTATAATTATAGTCATTAACTCCAGGTGTGGGGGAAATGGACTCTAAAGAACCCAATAAACTAGATTTTGGATGACAATTTCCTCTACTTTTGTTCAAATCATTTCATGAAGTCACCTATCCATCTATAATCTAAAACCTCCGACAACTTAAAAGGAAAGAGTTTGTCAGAAGATGTAAGCTACAATCTTTGCTTTACAGATCACAGCTAATACTAACACAAATTACTAAAGATGAAATTCAGGATGCTCATATCAAGAATCCAAAAAATATTTCTTTCTTTCTTTTTTTTAACATTTTATTTATTATTTTTATATTATGTGTATTCATGTATTGCCTGCATGTAAGTAAGTGCACCGGTGTCGTGCAATGCCCTCGGAGGACAGAAGACACTGTTGGATCCCCTGGAACTGGAATTATGGATAGTCGTTAGCTGACATGTGGGTGCTGGGATTCAAACTCGGGTCTTCTGCAAGAACCAGTGCTCTTAACCGCTGAGCCATCTCTCCAACCTCCTGAAAAATATTTCTTTATCACAGGTTCAGACAATGTAATAATTTTGTTGCAGGTATCTTACCAAAGTTTTAAAATGATCTGACACTGAACACTATCAACACTGTTTATTAACTCATTTATTTAACAAACTGTTGGCTATACATAAGAAACTGTGCCAAGTGTGGTGAAGACTGTAGAATTATATAAAAGTTGGTTGGCTCTTTTCTCAAAAAGGTTTGCAATTCACTGAGATCAGTACACAGATACCTTTAAAATACTTTTCCATTTTGCAATACCAAATTTGAGAATGTAAAACAAAACCTTGTGCATCCCCTAAGTGGTAATTAATTACCTGATCTTGTAGTGACATCACTGGATTATTTTTGGTAGTGTTGATGTGAAGAACATGGTATTTATTCTTTGCACACAAGTCGTAGGCGATATTGGTAAACGAGGTGCTTGCAGTTTTGGGAACTCTGTTATAAATGATCACTATATCTTCTTCTTCATCTAAAGTTGAGTCTTGCCGAGGGCCATCCATTGTATGTCGCTGTTCGATTTCTCGGACTTCATGTCTTGCAATTGCCCTTTCTGCAAAGAAAAAAAAGATTAATAACTAAGTTCTTGAGAAAACATCAAAGAAGTTATGAACAATGAACTTTTGATTATCATAAGGCAAGAGAAAACATAACCATAACAAAGGCAGACAAACAAAGAAGAACCAAGGCATACACGAAATATAAGACAAGCTTTTCAGAAAGTAAACTTAGTTGATTGTAAAATAGCTTCATCTTAGGACACAATTTTTCTATTCAAGAACTGGGTAAGAAAAACTGAAGAAATGTTATAAGGATGAAACCTTTAGGACTACTTTTGAATGATAAAACACACATACCAAGAACAAAAAATAAATAGTCATAACTGTAGAATGACACAAACTAGAGAGCACTTAACAGTTAAAAAGTCACTTTACGCTCTAACAGGATTTTCACTGCCTGAAATAATTCTCAAATACACAACAGACCGCATGTGTTGTAGTTTAAATGTTCAGTGTTCCTGGGGCTGGAGAGATGGCTCAGCAGTTAAGAGCACAGGCTGCTCTTATAGAGGATCTGGGTTCAGTTCCCAGCACCCACATAGAAGCTAGCAGTTGTCTGTAACTCCAGATCCCGAGGAGTCTGACACCCTCTTCTGACTTCCATGGGCATTTCACGACATGGGTGCACTTACATACATGCAGGCAATATACTCATACAATAAGACAAAAATAGCATCTTAATGTAAAATGTTCCCCATAGGCTCATTGCTTGAACAAATGATCCCCAGCAGCTGGCGCTGTTTTGGAAGATTGTGGTATGGTTCAGGACGTAGAACCAGGTTCAAGGAAGTGGTTCCCTAGAGGGGTGGCCTTGAAGTTTTACAGCTGGGCCCCATTTCCTGTTCCTGTCCTCTTTACAGATGACATGTGACCGCCCTCAGACTCCTATTATACTCCTGTGTGATGGACTGTATCCACTCAAACTGTAAGTAAAAATAAACACTTCCTAAGTTTCTTCTTCACAGGTATTTATTTGGTCATAGCAACAACAAAAGAAAAAAATACAGAATGGAATACTAAACATCACAGATAACATGCAAAACATTTTTGAAATTTATTACATAGGATTTAGGTACCTCCTAGTTTATTAAAATTTGCCACGGTAATAACTACAAATGCTAATGACTTGGGTAACGAGTAGAAACACCAGCAGTCCAAACTCTTTCTTTTTGGGTACAGAATTACAGACACGTCCCGGCTATGTCTATTTCTTACAATTACCAATTTCTCTCATTTCAGTCCTTGTCTACTACGTGGTTTCCAAGCCAATTCTACTTTGCTTCACACTATTTAACGTATAGGTCAGTTTCAAAAATTTTGAGACTAAAGAAAGAAGCAAGAAGGGAAGAAGAAAATGGGGCAATATCCATCAAGATTGTGAATTACTTTAAACAAGAGTTGCTAACATATAGCATGCACACTATATCACCTCATCTTTTACCTTTCTTCCCCAACCCAATCCTTCCTGGCTAATTCCCAACATTACTATTCCAACTATCACTTCTCAAGAAAGCATTATCCAATCTCTCACTTGTTCAAGACATTTTGAAATAATCTTGTACATCTTTGTGTTTCTTAATTATCTGAGCACATGCCTTAAATTTCTGTTCACAAGATCTGGTTACTACGTTAAAGAGAGCACACTTTCAGTTGAGGAGTCACATTCAGAAGACTTGCACTCCAAGATCCAGACCTGCTACTTATTAACACTGAGCTTCCCAAAAGAGAAAGAGAAGCACAGATGACAGACACAGGTGTATGTTCCACATCAATATGCAGATACAACAGGAATAGGGCAAGAAAGCTAATGAGCATAATGCTGAACACATCACTGGGCTGCTGGTGGTATTCAGATGTTCTGTAAGTAATTGTGTCTGCAGAAAGGTCTAGAACTGAGAAATGTTCTAATAGGTATCTGGGAAAACTTAAGGATAGATGAAGTTTTAGAGAACAAGAGACTGCAGAGTGCATGTCCCTGGACAGGACTCCTATATTAAACCTCATCCACCCATGGCTCAAGGGCCATTGCAGAAGAGGGGGCGAAAAGATTGTAAGAGACAGGATTGGTGCATCAACATAAGGAAACAGAGGCTTTCAGGTCTCTGGGACCTTGCTACAATGGTGACAGCATGCACAAGACCCATACCGACTTAATCAGACAACAAAAAGCCCCATTAAAAAAAAATACACGAAATTGTCAGGAAAAAGTGATGGGGAGATATGGGAGAAGTTGGAGGGGAGGGGGCTTGGATTTGATCAAAACACCTTATATACACGTAAGAAATGGGAAGCAGCAGGCCCCAACACTAAATGAAGGACTATTGGCAACTAACTACTGTTGGGTGAGGGAGAGTAATCTTCTTTAAGGGAGTGACTCTAGATAGGCTGACCAGATTCCAGTAGATGAACTTGCACCAAGGGAAATCTAGGTACAAATGCATGACTGGATAGGACTTAACATATATGACAGAATGCATGAAATCCAATGTGGGGCAATGGGAGGGTGTGGATGGGAGAAGGGGGTCTAAATTTGACTAAGATCTAGTATATAAAATGCACAAAATTCAACAGAATATTAAAAAATAAAAAAGAATAAAATTGTTATACTTAACAAAATAAATAAAACAAATTCAAAATATGAATAAAAAGCTTGTGGATGGGTTCAGCAGCACAAAAAACAGAGAAAAATTTAGTGAGCCAGAATCAATAGCAACAAAGGAAGTTTAAGGAACTGTGGTCTATACTCTAACATTGCTGTCACAGTCTTAGGAAAAAAAGCCAAGAGAACTCTAAAGAACTATGGCTAAAAATTTTACCTCTTAGAATCAGGAAAGTGAATGAACCCAAATAAGATAAAACACAAAGAGATTCATCTAGGTCAAGGCACACCATAATTAAAAGTCCAAAAACGAAAAGAATCTTGATAGCAACAAAGCCTTAACTACAGAAGAAAGTGGGACCAACCACATATCTCTCACTGGAAGTCACAAAGCAAGAAGTAGCACAGTGATTCTAAGTGCTGAAACTAAAAAATTCTATATCCAGAGAAAATAATTTTCAAGAATAAAGAGGAAAATAACTCATATATATATAAAAGAAAATCTTCAAAATTTATAGAAGGCAGAACTCCCTGAAAGACTGGGTATGTAAGCTCTCTAAATTGAGGGCTGGTGAGGTGGCTCGGAGGGGAAAGGCACCTGCTGCCGAGTCTGAAGACCTGGGTTCAATCTCCAGGACACACATACTGGAAGAAGAGAACGGACTCCCATAAGCGGACCTCTGACTTATGCACAATGAATGAATGAAATTTTTAAAAGTTCTCCAAATTTAAAAAGACAGAAAACAAGCTGGGTGTGGTGGCACACGCCTTTAGTCCCAGCACTCTGGAGGTAGAGGCAGGTAGATCTCTGTAAGTTCAAGGCCACCCTGGTCTACATACGGAGTTCCAGGTCAGCTGGGGCTACAGGGAGACCCTATCTCGAAAAGAACCCCCCAAAAAAACATAGAAAACAGAAAGAATAACAGTAACAGCAACAAAAATGGAATTTCTGAAAATGCATTTAACAGTGAAGGCAAAAGTTCTAATACTGTGGAATTTGGTTCAAAATTCATGCACAGAAAATATTTAACATTATGAAAATTTTAAAAAATATATTTTATTTATTATTATTTATTTATGTGTATGAGTGTATTGTCTGCATGTATGTGAGTGCACCCATGCTTGGAGGCCAGAAGAGGGCATTGGATTGCCCGGAACTGGAGTTACAGACCGTTGTTAGACATCACGTAGGTGCTGGGAATAGAACCAGGTCCTCTGCAAGAGCAGCCTGTGCTCCTAACTGCTGAGCTAGCTCACCAGTCCCCTGCTCTGTCTTT